GGAATGAGTAGTCTGTTCCTGGAAAAAAATATGGGTGCTGGGACTTCAGAATCACGGAATGATTCTAAAAAGCTGAGTAAAGAGGCATTCATTGTATGAAACTTAATGGTCTCAAATAGCAGCAATACCTAGAATTTTAAACTGTTTCAGAAGTGATTTAGACATGCTTGATCTGAAGCACAGATGGAATGGATGATGGTGAAAGAGGAGTTTTCATTTTGCACAGGTTGCATTACAGGATACAGTTTTGCTAACAATTGTAACCAGTATTTTTTCAAATATTCTAATTGCAATGTTTATTAATTAAGCATCCTTAAACAGGTAAAAGCTATACCCTTTTTTGCTTGTTTCCAGAAAACATTGTTTCTGCCTAAGTGGTACTGAACTCTAATTACAGGAGCACAAAAATTGTGGTGAGATGACTGAAATAGAAGCCAAAGTGAAGTACGTGAAGCTAGCCCGTTCCCTGCGGACCTACGGAGTGTCATTTTTTCTTGTTAAGGTAACGTATATCTTGCTGACCATATTGTATGGTTGGTTATGTATTACCTCAGATTCTGAACTAGTCAAAGGTCAAAGATGTTCTTTCAGCCTTCTTTCTGAAAAAACTGTAAATTACTACGTGGGACAGAATTACAATTATGGTTTAGATCCATGTCATACTGCTTCCAGAAAGAAACTTGAGTCTGTTATGACTTAATTTCTTCAAATAAATGTATGACATATGGATTGATTTCTGGTTTATGATGGGTTTTATGTAGCAAATTGTTAGCTTGGGCCTGTGCTCTGCAACCTTGGAAATCTAAAGAGGCAGAGTGTCCAACAAATAAGGAGATAGCAGCTGGCAGCCCACTTGTGATATTTGCGTGGCTTAGGATGTTCTCATAGATTGAAAATAGCTAAGATTCAAATCCAAAATACGGGACAAATTATGGCTGATCTTGCCTAATTACCAGCCTCAGTGGGCCTTCCTTTCCTTTACCTCTCTATAAATTTTATAGAGAAATGGTGAGGGCAACCTAACTTCTGAATCCTCCTGATGCCAATTTCCCATTCAGCTTCTCTAATATGGTTTTACAGAGTAACTCTTGTGTCTAGAAGGACTGCTATCATATTTTTGTGTTTCGGGTTTTTTTTTAAAAGCATCTCCCAAATCTTTGTTACTGCAATCCCTAAAATGCTTCTCTTTCCTGGAGGAGGGAGAAGAGGGAGTACCTTTTGAACTGCATAGTAAAAATCCAGTAAAGAGCAGAGCTTCTTAATGCATTGCTTGAAAATCACTGTCTGTGACCAGGCAAACTGAGCCTGGAGTTTTAAATTGTCCTCATCTGCATGCCAGATGCTTCCCTTTGTCAGTATGTTCCATTATGCTTTGCTTCTATAGCAAGCTCTATTTGAATGAAAAACAATCTTTCGCACCTTGTTATACACCTTGTTATAGGAAAAAATGAAAGGCAAAAACAAGCTGGTTCCTCGTTTGCTGGGTGTCACCAAAGACTCAGTGATGCGTGTGGATGAGAAGACCAAGGAAGTGTTGCAGGAATGGCCACTGACAACTGTGAAACGCTGGGCTGCCTCACCTAAAAGCTTCACTCTGGTAATCTTCTTGTATATGTTCAGAAGAAGGGGGATATATGTGGCAAGGAGAAAGGAAGATGGACTTATACTTGGAACAGTTTCTTTAATGTAACTTGTTCTATCCATAATTTTCTAGCATTATATAGAGTCACTGAGTCCTAAAGTAATAAACTGGCCCATACAGGTGTCTAGGGTCAACCTGTATTTTGATGCTTCTAGACAGACTGGTTCCCCAAAAGTACTTTTTAAATATTTTCAAAAACCACAGTTTAAATCTGTTTTGTGGCTAACCACTAAAACAGTTAAGAAAACTTCATTATTCACACCTGCTTAAACCCTTATGGTGCTTGGCATCATAATGCACTTTGTGACTTGCAAGATATGAACATAAACAAAGCTAGATGGTTCATTAATATACTTGATCATTACAGATTTCAAGACTTGCATGAATGTGATGTTTTGTTTATTATTTGGTCCATAAGAGGCCACTGCAATGAGAGTATTTTGAATAGGAAAAGGTTGTTTCAAGTGGTAGAGCAAGAGGCAGTAGCTAGAAAATTAGATTCACTTTAATCATGTGCATCTAACTTCCAATTGCATGGGTGATTATGCTTCGGAATAAAATTCTGAAGTTCTCCATCCTTCAGTGACTGAGTCTGATAGACTAAGTATCTCTTGGTCCTCTGGCATTTCAATTTGTGAAACATCTGTGATTAAGCTGCAATAAAAAGCATCCTTCCCCTTTCCTCCCTCACCCCTGTATACACTGGTTTAGAATCTTGGAGCAGTTTCATTTGATGTTGCATATAATAAAATGTCTATACAGACAATTTTAAAATTTGAATTCTCTCACTCGTATTTGGTACTGTTTCTTCATTTATTAGTTTCCATTTTCAAAGACTTTTTTTTCCTTCAGGATTTTGGTGAATATCAGGAAAGCTATTACTCAGTACAGACCACCGAAGGAGAGCAAATCTCTCAATTAATTGCAGGTTACATTGATATCATCCTGAAAAAGGTATAGTATTAAGATGACATGTCATAAAAATCACTGTACAGCAGTGCAAAAACTTAAATGTGTGCAAGCTGCAATTTTCTTTCTCTCATGAAGTTGGTTTTGTATCTTATGTTTTGATGTTATTTATTTTCACCTTTAAGTAATACAAGCTTACTCAGTTTAACTTAAGTGAGCATTTCTGGAAAATATCAAGGCTGTTAACTATAAGGATAGTATGGGTCAGGCTCAGTAGAGCACACTTGGGCTTTGTTTTTTCTGCCTGGAAGGTGAACTGCTGGCTATGAGTGCATATCCAGAGAAGAGCTTAAAGCTTCAGCTATGGATTTTAAGCTATGGACCAAAGTGATGAATGAGGTGGGAAGAAATGGTCCCGTGGATATAAACTACATTAAGGACTCCACAATAGTTTGTGCAGCAGCTCTGGTATATAACTCATCAAAGCTGAGAAAGTTTTTTGGCAAAACTTAAAAAAGCCCCAAAAAACAAAAAGCCCCCCACAAACCAAAAAAAACCCCCCAAACCCTAAAAAACCCGAATACTGTGATCAGTTAAGCAAAGAATTACATCTCAGTTATGCAGAGAGAGATAAAATCTGTGTTTGTGGAGGGGCCAAACTGTCTTGAAACTTGGTTTTATGGAGTGTGCCTGGCAGGAGAGAGGATAGGCTGATATGCATGTCCAGCATTCAGAATATTCACAAGTGAATAAGGGCAACAGCAAAAAATACTGTTTTTGCCAACAAACATGGAGCTGAATGGTCATAATCTAAGCACTTTGTATAAAAAAGTGAGGTGTTTCAAATAGCTCTGGTTGCTCTTTGACAAATTGTTACTTTGTTAAGGTTTAACCAAACTACATTATTTACTGTAATAGATTTTAATAGTAAAAAAATGACAGAAAGCTAAGCAGCTCAGGAGAATTTATTGCCTTTGTTCACGCGATCAGTGTAGGATATAACATCAGATGTTACAAAATCAGAAGTTGAGGAGGATTGCTAGAATTCATTACAGTGCATGCCTTTTTCTCTGAGGCTGTCAGTCTCAGTTTTAATAAATCTTAAATAAACTGAAGATTTCTATAGATGGTTTAAAATTTGATTCTAGCTCTTAAGCTTCAAAAGTAGCTTTGCTCTCTAATGCCAAATGAAAGCAGCCTTTCTGTCTTGATAGAATACAGATGTGTGTATTTCCAACCCATTCCAGTCGTTTGATTTCTTCTTTACAATCTGCTGACACAGCCAGTTTTAAAATGAATGAATTAGGAACAGGTTAAGTAATAAACACCCATGATGCTTCATGACGCGTATAAGAAGTGTGCAGTTTTCAATTGTCAAGCCCAAGTTATCTCTGTGATGCATGCCTCAAAGTATGGTTTATCGCTTTCAGTTGCATAATGTTAATTCTTGGTGTGTTTTGGACTGTTCCAACTTACTTGCCGTGGTGTGGATTGGTGGCGCATTTTTTCTGCTAAAGTATTACTGATGCAATGCTCCCCACCCCCCAACTGCTTTTGTCCTCCAATTTTAGTGATAGGTCATTAATCACTTGACAAGGAACCCTGAATTTGATTAACTTTTACCATTTTTTAATCTAGATAGATTGTCTTACTTCACACTAATATGGAAGTAAGGCACAATCTTGACTAGAAATAAGCAGTTTCAGTTCATGCATAAACTTACACTATAATAGCAAACATTTCCTTGGAGAAAGTTGAGGGGTTTGTGTAAATGGATGTGCATGCAGAGTTCCTGTTAATTGTACCCAAGGTTATAGTGGATGTTTCTCTATTTATGCATACATATATATATTTTTTTTTTCAGGCTACAAATCATGTAACAAGGTGGAAAGCAGGCAGTACCTTTGCACTAGGTCACAAGTAGAAATAGGCTGTTTTTACAAGGCACTACTTTTATGACTTATAGTAGTTCCCTGTTGTTTCTAGTGGTTCAGACTTACTCCTCCTGTGTATATTTACCTCCCTTATACCGCTATAAAAAGACTGCCTCAGAGTCAGATGTGCAGACTGTCCAGAAGTTTGAAGTAACTATGGTAAAATAACTTGGATCAAGTATTAAATTTATCATCTTTCCTATGGATATGTATTTCCTAGTGGTAGGTAGCATTTTAGGATGCTAAATATGACTTGTAGGCAAGTTCATTAGCTGAGTCAGTCTGATGTTCCTGAGTTAGGAGAATGGCAAAGGGGATGGTACATGTCCTGTCTGAGCTGGGATTTGCTGTTGTTGCATATCACTCGGCCCTCGGATCATGGGGTTTTTTTCTGTGAGAAAAGACAGTATCTCAGCACTTTCTTTATACCTCTTTGTTCAAAAAGGCACCAATAGGCTTTTTTTCTTTTATGCACTTAATCTGCCAGGGCTTAGAACCTGGTTTGTTAGATGCTGAAGGGCACCTCTTCTGAGGTGGAGGTTATATTACCACACTCTGCCAAGAAGTGTGATGTTCAGGACTGAATAAAGCTGCAAATTATTTGGCTATGTTTCTGAATAAATGGCAAGGAAATGGTGGAGAGAAAGCAAAAAGTGACACAAGTCATCTAACTTTTTTTCTTTTCTTTCCTTTCTCCCTCCAGAAACAAAGTAAAGACAGATTTGGGCTTGAAGGTGATGAGGAATCAACCATGTTGGAAGAATCTGTTTCACCTAAGAAGTGAGTGTATACGACAGGAGAAAATGCTCTTTATTTAAGAGTGACATTTTCTAGCTGTGGCAGCTTTTTTCAAATCAAATAGTATAGTTATTACTATTAAAGAACAATTTTCTACAGAGTATTTCAATAGAAGGAAGCACTATCCACAGGCAATTCAGCAGGCTCCTAGCTTTGTACCAGTTTGTGGTAACTTGACCCTTGAACAAAGGAACTCTGGCTGTAATTCAGTAAAATGCTGGGGGGGGAGTAATGATGCAGAGCTGAAAATACCATACTAGATTTCTTCCTCTTCATGCAAACACCTAGGATTTGTAAGGTTTTAGTTGCTTGTGTCTGATAAGTTCATGGCTTCCAGTAAACTTGACTCCTGTCAGTTTGATTGTTGTGTCATGAACAGAACTGGCTTATTTCACCAAACCACTTTAGACAAACCTATCAGATGTGTGGTATGGGTAGAGGTAAAGTTTTGGTGCTAGTAAGTCAGGCTATGGCTCTGATGGGAGAGTAACTGAATATAGCAAAAAGCAGAACTGTAGAGCTGGCCATAACCTTGAAAAGGAATATTAAGTCTTTCCTTGCAGTGAAGGACTACAAATAGGTTTGTGATGTTATAAACTATAATGAGCCACTCAAGTCTCCCCTTGGAACACTAAGGATGGCAGTGTCAGCAGTGTGTATATGAAGTCTATTTGATTTATTGTTAAACATATGGTTTATAGGAGATAGACTTGTTAAATATTTAATGTGGCTCTATGTGAAATTTCAACTTTTGACAGATCACACACATTCAGATGTGCTTTCTTTTGACATTGCCCTTTCCAAATCACTTCCAGAATATGCTGTTAGCTAAGTGCTGTGCAGAGAAGCCCAAAACTTGCAATAGGTGAATACAAGATTCTTCACAATTGAAATTACTTTTTTCCCCAGCAGACTGTTGTTGTTAAAGTCAGAATTCCTGTCCACGCTTCTAGCTGTTAAAGCTTGAACCATATTTAAATATGAGAAGTATATCTGGCGAAGTGGTTCATGACCATGGATGACAGTAACTTTATTATTCCTGCCTCCCAGCCCATTATCTGATAGGCTGCCAGAATATTAGCAAGTACTGGGCATTCATCTTTGTATAAAGATGGGGAAAAAAAGAATGTTTTTATCCTGAATCTAGGGATTGCTTATAAAAAGCATCTCCACGGGGTTTATGCTTCTATTTTCTATTGATCAGCCTATGATACAACTGAAAAAAAGCAGGCATTATGCCATAAACCTTGTTCCGGTTCTGTGATGCATCTTAGAGGGGTAAAGCCTTTGTACCACATATACCAAAACTGCACATTGCCTTCTTTCCTTAGTGCCTGCTCATTACTGCTATTAATATTTGATCTGCCAAAAGCCACAGATTGATTTTCTTTCTTTTTTTTTTTTCTTTCCTGATATGTTAGAAAATAGTTAGGGGAAAAAAGGCTAATTTTTTCCAGCTTCTCCAAATGTTGTGAAATGCCATTTTAAAATCCTAAAGGAAGAACATCTGGCAGGACTCGATTTGCTAACTAACTTTCTTTGTTGGATTTTTTTTTTTCTTTTTTTTTTTTGTGTTTCTGTGGGGGTTTTTTGTTTGGTTGGGTTTTTTCCCAGATCTACCATCTTGCAGCAGCAGTTCAACCGAACAGGGAAGGTGGAGCATGGCTCTGTGGCACTACCAGCTGTTATGCGTTCAGGGTCCAGTGGCCCAGAGACTTTCAACATTGGCATCATGCCTTCTCCGCAGCAACAAGTCACAATTGGTCAGATGCACAGAGGACATATGCCCCCGCTTGTGAGGAACCTCATTGTTTTGTATTTGAAACTTTTTTTTTATTTGAAACTTGTCTGTGCTGCAAGTAGTCAGAAATAGCATGTTATACATATTACTAAGAGCAGGAGGAGGATATCAAGTGTGATTTCCTGGCTGTCCTAATGAACATAAGTTTTGAGGGTCCCTGAAATATTTAGGGTATCACATTTTGACTTATTTCCTCATTTTCCTTAAAGCCAGCTCTTCCAGCCTTCTCTTCTAAATAGTTAAACTAGTATTCAGGGTCAGAAAAAGAGTTTTAAAGACTGGCAAAGGTTATCAATTTTAAGAAAAAAAGCTTACATTTAGGTTACCATTAGCCCACCAATTTAGATATTTTTAGCAGGCTCAAAGCTGATGCTGAGTTTTCTCATTTAATTTAAAAGACTATCAAAAGGCCTAAACAGGCTGTAGAGAATATAATCAATGCTTAAGATCATGACATACCACTAAAGTGAGTGATATGTGTAGTGCGTTGACCTTG